ATTATGGTGTATACTCAATTTTGGATATTCATAGTAGGTTTTGTTTGAGTTTTGTCAAGCATCACGATATTGTTGGAGATGATCTCTCTGTTGCCATAATTATTTCCTTGATTGTTTATATTTTGCCACTGCTTATGTAAAGCTTGAAGTGATAGAAGGATCCCTAAGGAGGAGGGGATGTTAACTTTTCAGAGAACAGAAATTGCACATATGATGGAATCTTCATCATAATTGATCTCTCGAGAGCTGAAACATGACTGGTGTTCTCTGGGCTGTAAATTTTAATACCTTAGGTGGTATTTGTGCCTGCGTGTGGCCACACCTGGGTTTAGGCATAGCACCACATTTCTTGGACTTGGGCAACTGTCTAAAAAGCGTGAAGGTAAAAGCTTTCAATAAAAGAAGGCATAAGCATGCCTGGCACAGAGCCAATAGACAAATCTCAGCGGGTTTCTGACAGGCTGTGTAAGAGTGTTGTCCAGATATATGCTGGTAGTATCTGAACACTGCTTGGGTGGCAGTTAAAAGTGAATGTCCTCACCTCCATGCCTTAGAGAAGGGGGGAAAAAAGATGAAAACGTGTGTTCTGCTTCTTTACAATAGGAGATGCTAATGGAGAAGAGAGTGGGGTACGAAGGCTGGCACTTAGGGTTCCTGCTCAATAATCTCTTCTTGATACTGGAGTTCTGGAGGGCTTGACAACAGCAGCTCTGCAGGGCTGGGTGTGGGGCTTATCTATGGGTGGGTGGCAAGTGCTCAGAAGTCCCTGTGGGTCTCTGTCCTTTGCTGCTGAGGTTTCCCTTGACAGTGCAGATTGAGAAGTGACACCATCTCTGGCCAAGCCTGATTGGAAAGCAGTTGTGCTGAGTTGAGAGCAGCCCAGAAGGCAGATGAGCAAAGGCAAGCTGGGATGGATGAATGCCATCAAAACTCCTTCCTGCATCCCCACTAGAGGGCTGTGCTGGCCGGGGCTGGAGAGCAGGATGTGCTGTGGGTGCGTGGCATAAACACAAAGAAAGCCTTGATGCTGTTAGGCCAGATGGCACGAGCCAATGTGCAGGACACTCCATCTTATAGCTACGTGACATACTGAACTTGTTTCCTCAGTTAGGATCTGATTACTTAACAGGATTTAACACTTGCAAGTAATAGTAATTATATGTCGGGACTTTAAAGGCAACATTCTCAATTTCTGCTCTAGAATTGTAGGTTTATTAAGTGGACTAGTGCTCCTGTGCCACAGTAAGTAAACAGCTCCTGCAGGAAACTTCTAAGGGCTGTGAACATCAGGAAGGCAGGAGAGAGGGTAATCCTTATCTCTACCATGCTTTCCAGGCCTAGTGGATGATGTGATGTTGCAATAACAGTCTTCTTGAAGGGGCTGGATCGTGGCTACTGATGGAGAATGATCCGGCCCACTGTTGGAGATAAGTGGCATAAGCTGTTCTCTGTGCATTGTACTCCTTTTTAATTTGTTATGGCTTAATGATTCTCAAATTTCCTTCTTGGGAAAATTGATTGGAAGCCTAGGGCTGAAGATTGTATGTATGAAGATTAATGTTGACCTAAAATGGCCATGCTCCGTGGTATTAAAAAACAAACATCATTTAAGTAAACACTCAAGTTGCAGAATGAAGTACAAGTGAATTTGTAACTATTAACATTACTAATTTATCTTGAAAAGTATTGCTTGAATTTGTACTGGGTAAATCAAGAATACTTTTTTCCAATGCAGAGGAGAAAGCAGGGAGCCTTATATAATTGTTCATCTGAAATAATTGCCAAAGTAGGAAGTGTATGTTGGGGTGTTTGTTACAGAAAGAAAACTTCAGATTTTGAAAGTGGTCCAGATAATTATCTCTAATGCAGAGATAGCTTATTTTATGCTAATGGACCTTCTAGTAGGGAATATGATTCTTAAGGTTTCCAATGAAGATACTGCTGGGGAAATAGCACTTGCTTGCCTAATACATGAAATTGCTCAAATGTAGCAATAATTCAGTTTGTATTGCAGATTAGCAGCATGCCTCAAATATATATCAGTGCTTCTGAAATTGCTTCTTTTAAATGCTCTGGCTAACTTGTTGTGAAGACATACATGAGAAGATCTGATGTTATCTGGCATTTAGCATTTCACCACTTTTTTTTAAATTTGTTTTAACCAAACACAAATTTTGTGGGTTTGCATCCATTTTCATAGAAGATCAATGATAATTGCTGAAGACGCACATTAAGATGCTAGTATGAAATCAGAAAGGTAAGTAGAGAACTCTTATGTTGCTTCTTAATGTTGAGTTCCTTTTCTTAAAGGGATGAACCTCACCAGTGAAGTGGAAACAAAAAGTAAACACTGCTAAACCAGTTCATCTTCAAGATATATACTGATTGTCATGACGTAAGTTTTTTGCTTTTTGAAAAAAAAAAAAAATCTGGGCAACACAGACTTTGGAAGTTGATAGAAGTGTATGTGACTAAGCAGGAAACCACTTCCTCTTTTGAAAATAATTGCTGCATCCTAATTCAGCCTAGGTTATATCTTGTTTCTTGAAGCTTGTGAAAATATAGTGCACTTCTGAGTTCTTGCTTTTTGCCTTTCAGTTTTGAAGTAATGCAGGTTCAGCAGCAGAAGGTGCCCATAAACTATTGAAAAGAAATGGTATCAGAGCGAGAGTGTGTCTTGATCATTGTCCCATGGACTAGTTTGATTAATCTTGACAAAATAATCATTTAATCAAACCAAGCTTTAAAGCAAAACACAAATACATGTAATAGAAAGTTTACTGTTTTGAAAGCAAAATGAATGATTTTGTATTTGCCATCTATATTGTAAGACCATCTTGATATCTGCAGCACAGTGATAATACCTCTATATTTAAACTAGTTTTAACTGTATTTCCCTGCCAAACTGTAACTAATCTACACATCCAGAAATAGTAATGTGGTACTGACAAGTCTCTAAACTAGTACAAAATGGTGGTAAGTGAAATGCCCCTTTCTTCCTTGAATTTATCTTAGAATTATGTTTTAGATATTCTTTCAGAGCTGAAGTGAGCCTTTGTAAAGAAGATGGCATTTCATACCTTTGAAGACTTCATTTAAAAGCCTCTCAGTTTAGCTTGAAGATTGTCTGAATTCATACTTGACATGAGCAGTTTGGCACTTCTGTGGTGTGTGCCATTTCTGACTGCAACAGATGTGATTCTTGAAAGTCCTGATCTGGGTTTTTATTCTTTAGGCTCAGCTGCTCTGCTGGGACAAAACTCTTAACAATTGTCACACCAGCAAGTTAAGGGCTTAGAGTTCTTCCTCTTATCTGCATATGTACTTATTTTATTCAGAGGTCTCATCTCCAGTAGCTCTGCAAGTCTTTGACACCTCAGACTGAAAAAAATACTGCAGGTTTTTGTATCTGATACTCCGAAGCTGATGAGCAGGGCTGTCACTCAAATTCACAAGAATTGTTTTTCTGTCCAATGCTAGTTAGGTGAGATGTTTTGCTGCCAGTGATAAAACCAGATATTACTGTGCAGCTGTTCAAGTCCCATAGACTTGTGTATCCTAGAAGGAAAAATGTTTGGATTTTTTACTATTATCATGCCATGAAAGAGCTGAAAAGAGTTTGAAGTTCTCTCTGGTGCCAATTTTCTGATTACTCTGTAGTCTTTGGAATAGCTTGAGGATTACGGATTTCCACTAGAGCTGCCCAGTAGAAGTTGCATTTGGTGAAAATTCTGGGAAATTTTTCATTAAGTGAAGCTGTCATTTGCCTTTGAATCCAATTCTCTTAAGATCAAGCTAATAGTATATCTGAATCTTTTCTAATTTCTGCTTGGGGTAGTATAAGAGTTCTAAAAGCTTATTTTGACAGGTTCTGTGTTTTTTCCACCTATGTCTGCATTCTTTTGGTTTACCTGGGCAAGTTGAGCTTTAAGTCAGCCAGCAATGTTTTAAATTCAGGTCTATATGCAGACTGAACTGCATCTCGTCTGTTGCACCTGTGTTCTAGCAGAACATTACTGACTGTAGGGTGGCCAAATTTGTACTTCTCAGAGGTGCACTTCATGCATTGCATGCTTCTATTTTTTTGTTATATATACATCAAGGAAGTTATAAGAAGCGTATACACAGATTCAAACTAGTTTCTGTTCCGAAGGCCTGTTTTTTTCTAGTGAGCACACAGAAAAATAAGATCCTCCCTAAAGCTTTGCCTCTGCAAACTTACGGAGTGCCTCCACTCAAAGTGGAAAAGCTGGTGAAGGAATTTCACTACAGCGATTAGCTGTGCACAGTAAGACTAGAAGAAAGTTACAGCTCGTAGTTGGAGGAGTTGGGGGGAAGCAACTTAGGTACTTTTTGGGTTAAATGTAGTGTGATTTCAGAAGCCTAAAAGGAAACTTTCATCTCCTGTTGAAAAAGAGAAGAAA